TTCCACTACAGTTGTTGTGATATTGGTTTATTATTTTGTAGCTGCAATAATTTTGTGTATTGATCATTTCAAGGATATTATTATTAGTTGCATATTAATAAGATATGTCATTCCTCTTTATCTTGCTACCCTTTCTTCTATTGATTATATTAATAGTGGGAGCTAGGTTTTCCTGCAATGGATTTCTGGTCATGGTTTGATGCCTTATTTTCTATTTGATTGATTGATTCTATTTTATTATGTGATTTAGGAAGGATTATGTGGGCTATGATTTCAATTTATTTCCTAATGTTTGGGAAATTTACCCTATTGCTTCCAGCTATGTTCTCACCTTGCTATTTAGAGGTTCTGTTGGTGGTGGATTAATGGTTTGTTTGGTGGAAGTAGATGGTTTTGTACTTCCTGAGGGCTTATAATATCATACATTTTCTCAATATATTGGATATACCATCTGTTGCAATGTCGAGCTTAAATTTTTATTAGAAATAATGGTTGTGTTATTGCTCTTATTTTGGCTCAGGTTTCTTTTATGATTCCTATTTGTTCGTGTGGAGCTAACTTCGAAAATTTCTCAAAGATTAGTTTATTTTGATACTACACTTTTATGTGTCCTTACATGTCCTCCTTTTTTTCATTTTATTTTGTTTATAGGATTATTGTCATTTTGTCATTATTCTCTATAATCTGTTGCTTTCAAAGTGTATATTTTGGCTGATTTGGATTTGTGTTGTTGATTTGGAGTGCTTTGTGCCTTTGTCTTTATAACTTTGAGCTAGCTCTCTCTTTATTACTTTGGTTAATTTGGAATTGTGTTGCTAATTTGGTATGCTTTATGTCTTTGTCATTATTTATTTGGGCTTACTCTCTCACAGCACTATGTTTTGCTTTGTACTTATCATTGTTTGGTAGCTAGAGTTGTTTGTAGTGGATGGTCATTGGTTTTTTTACAATTTTTTGCTCTTCTGGCCTTCTTGCTCTTGACTCCTCTCTTTAGTTGTTCTCTGATGTGCCCTTTTCCTTTTGTCGGATGAGAATTTTTAAGTGCCTTTTATAGAACTTTAGTTCATCTATACATTGTATGGTGGCATGTTGCTTTGGTTTTTTGGTGGCCTTTATTATTTCTTGTATGACAAATTTGTGAGTCCCCTGTGTTATACTCTAGTCAATGTGTTTCGTCTATCCTAAATTTTTGGTCATTCTTTGAAGGTATGCATCTAATCTTGTTGAATGATCTTGATTGTCATTTTTCGTCTTGAATTTTGCATGAGATAGGCTTTTATGATGGTTCATGAGATGGATTTTTTGTTGCTCCCAATGGAGTTTTTGGGCACTATATTAGCTCCTTGCTTGCCTTTATTTTATTTTGTGTGTCAATCTTTTTTAACTCAATAGGTTTTTATTTCATTTTTTATTGATCCATTTAAGGACCATGTAACTCTTTTTTTGGATGAAATAAAATTAATATTTCCTTTAATTAAAAAAAAAAACTACATGCGTTTAGCAATCTTTACTACTCTATGTCGTTAATAAGTGACCTCAAATCAAGCTTGGGGAACCATTTATAAATTGTGGGATCCTTGGGCTTACTAGGCTTCTCAATATATTACTTCATTTCCATGCACTTCTCTGTCTCAAAAATCTGAGCCCACGTCCTTAGTTCCCATCAATAGCATATTGTCCATCTCTTCCTGCATGATTTCATTCTTAGGGATTATTTCAGGTTTTTTTTTTTAAATTAAAACCCACAAAAGAGCCTAAGCGATGAAATAAAAAGCAGGTTACAATTTCAGTGTTACTTCAGCGGCATAACATTTTTTTTCTTCCTGCATGGTTTCATTCTTATTGTCTTACATAGTTCTTCGGCATGACCAAGTTTCAATTGGCAACATTAGAGTTAAACATATTAACCCCATCGGGCTAAGATGGGTTAGTGGGCGAGCATGATTGAGAACCACCCAACCCATCTTTGAATCCCCTCTCATGCGGCACGATCATGGAGAAAATAACTGTGGGTTCCACACCTGAGGGGCTAGTTGATGGTAGGCTAGTCGAAGGATTAGTTATGTCGTTAAACGCCCCCTAAAGAGATGACAGCGGATAGATACCATTCTTCCCAAACAAAAAAATATTTTATGATACAAATGACAATGACTGTCATAATCTTTTAACTTAACAAACATTCATTTGTTCATTAAAGCATGTCTTCAAATTAATACTTAATTATATTATTAATGGTTTAACTAAACTTTCATATGATCTACAAATAATTATTAATTAATTTAAAATATTATATTAGTAATTTGTGATTGGCTTTATCGAAATATATAAAATGGTTTCCAAGTATTTGGTTGCTCAAACATCTCTTTATTTTACGCTAAAATGTTTCTTTTTTAAAAATTATATACTTTTGCATCTCATTGTAATATATTTATTTTATCTCCCTACTAATTATAATATAACTATTTTAATTGAAATATTTTTTTAAATGCAAACTAATTACTGAAATATGAAATTCATAATAAATGAATAAATATTTTATTATATTTTTATTCACATATATTTTTATGCATATATTTGTTTATTTTTAGAGAATCATAATAAGATCTTACATATAGGTTGAGGTCATGCATTAGGAGGTTTGAAAGAGAAGAAAAGAGAAATTGTAGATTTTATTGAGAAATATAAGAGGATTTTATTAGCACCTTAAAAAGATAAAGGATTCTTCAAATTAAGACTAAAATGGTAGAAAAAAGCAGCCCAATTTGTGAGCCCCTATTTATTTATATGCAAAGGTCAATGCCAATGGCATAAGATGGGCTACAGAAAATAATAAGTCTTTGAAACAATTTGGCCAAGTTTTCTGATATCCAACAGACAGAATCGTAAATGAGCTTCAAGGAAAAGATGAGCACATCAGATGAGTTACCAGGTAGAGAACCAGCTCAAGGTTCTCTCCCATGTGTAGGCTGCCAATTTCCCTACCCGTGTTAAGGTTCATAGTAAGGAAAGAATAAATGAAAGATAATTCTGTGCGACCACTAGACGGTGAGAACCGTTCGGCTGTCTCTATGAACAATCAAAGCTCAGCATGAATAGTAAATGCACTTTTACTGTACTGTTCGCAAAGATAAATCGGACAATCCTCCCCGTCCAATATCCGCACAAAATAATTTCTCCAAATAATACTATCAATCTAAGAGAATTTATGATGTATTCCAAAGCCAATCCAGTAAAGGCAATTGACAACTTGAGAGGCTTCAGAACTTGAGCTATGAGTGAATCAACTCAGTTAAAAAAAAAAAATTAAGAAAATGTGCTAACCCAACATAAACTAATAGATTTACTTCATGAATTAGATCCAAATGAACATGAAAGTATATATATATATATTAGTGCAGAACTCCTAAATTATTAATGTTTCAACTATTTTAAAATATTAATATTTATCACGTTGTTCAAAATTTTAGTAATTAACAAAGAATTATGAGTTAAAATTTCAATTAAATAACAATAATAATTCATAAAAACTCTGCATGATTGAAAATCGCCTTTTTTTTCACCGATTTTTCAAAACTGAGACGTTTGGAGTTCAATTATTTATTGAAGGAAGTAATAATTGGAATGGCTGAAAAAGGCTCTGTAGATATATCAACTCCAAGTCCCAATCTCAATTATTCCAAATAAAAAAGCTGAACACATTGCCCAGAATCAACCAGCCTGTACCTGAACTAGAAGAATGTCTGCTACCCAACCAACAAATTCAACATTCCTGTGTGCCTCCTTCCTCATAACCCTACCTTCCCCACCACCTTCACAACATTCCACACATACTTTGGCTGCTAATAATCATTGAAAAACCTTACACAACCTTACAAATGTGAAAGATTATAATAATGGACGAAAATGATAGAATTTCTACTGTAAATGACTTTTTCCCAGCATATTTCGAAGATAGAAGTATAAAATAATATTACATTAAGAAAATACGAGCACTGAAAGCAACCTGAGAAAGCTTCTCCCATGAAGAGTGAGATTTTTTTAAGAGTTAGAATATTTCTGTTCATATGAAAATAAATTATTAAAAGAGTACCAACACGTTTCTCCAGCAAATAAACTAAGAAAAATAATTATAGTCAAATTCCTAAATGAACTCAGATGAAATGAAAATTTCTCTTTCATAAAATAATATACGAATTCCAAGTGGACATCTTCGTTGGAATGAAAAAGGGCTTTTGGAATAAGAGAAAGCTAAAGAGAAAAGAGAAAGAAACTAGAAATTTTATTTCTCACTTTTGACTTGATACAAACTCAAAGACACCACCACTATTTATACTAGTAGTACACTATTAGGATTTATACCAACACATTTATATGTAATGGTTATAAATCTCTCGAGAGAGTATTCTCATATCTTCTATCATAAATGACATTAAATGCTTATTCTAGACTTCTCTAACAATTTAGAATCTTCTTCAATAAATTTCTCTATATTTTAATCTTGTGCGTCGATATAATGCTAGAAATTGAAATCTACAATTTTTTTTTCTGACACTAGAAGAAGTGCAGAGAACACCTGGTCTTAATGAGCTCTAGCGTCACCAAATGTTCGGAAGACATACAAAAGCAATTAGAGATAGACAGATGGAGGTGATGAAGAGGGAAAAATTTAGCCAAGCGAGGTGGTGTAGAGCTGAAAAAGATGGATGTAATATGAAGAACAAGTCTGTTTAACAAACGCAATTTGCACTAGAAAACCTAATATTACACACTATCATTATGCAACACGTAGAGAGCGTTTATTTACCATTATCAATAAGTAGCAACACAAACCGCCATGAAAAAATATTTAAGCAAAACTACCAAACTAAAACCATCACCATCTCATTACTAAGCATTCAAGATACTGAAGTTCTACTTAGTACACACATTGCTGAGAAGCACCTTCAAGCTAATAAAGCAGGCTAAAGGAGTTCGAATTCTACAATATATATAAATGCATTTCAAAGTAGAGGCGTGCAGTCTATGGCGAATGGATTACCGGCGAGGCCGCCATCCATGAAATAATGTGGATGAGCTGCATCCATTACAACAAACTGCATCTCCTCCGATGGCTTCCAGTGACGCTTTCGCTGGTTGATGAACCAGTTGTTTATCTGTTTTTGATCAAGGCCTGTGGACTCAGCAAGTGCTAGCTTCTGAGATTCCTGCAGTGGTCACAGCTCATTGTAAAAGAGATCTTGGAGTGGAGAGTTAACTGACTACAATAAATTTGATCTATAATCTAAAACAAAACGTGATTAAACAATAATTTTTAGTTATATAATCATGTTTTTTTAAAACAGAAATAAAAATAATATCTTTAACCACACTTAATAAATTTATAAATGTGATGATTAATGGTATGCCTGACAATTTGAATAATAATTTAAAAAATGAGTAAATTATCATCTTCAATTGCAAATACTTCTAAATCCACCATCAATATTCATTCTTTAAAAAATATAACTTAAAATAAAAGAAGTTTATAGCTTAAAAGACATTTTTTACCCACTCTTTAAACAAATGTAACTAATAATGTAATCGTTATTACTACAAATTATTGCAGTGTCATTACGTTGTGAATTCACTTATTTGTAGACAATATTTTGAATAAAAATACCATATTTCTTTCCAAAAATTAAAAAAAAAACTTTAACAAGATTACGTTGAATATAATAAAAAGGAAATATCCAACAAGGAAAACCCTTAAGAGAGATTCAAATGATGAATGCATACTGAAGGATATGGCCATTTGTAGTGGCGAGTCCACCAGTCAAGCAGTTGTTGCCTGGCTTCCTTGGGGAGCTTTCCTTTCTTCCTCTTTTTGAGGAACTCCTGCTTCAGACTTCCCAAGTAACCACTGTATTTGCGAAGGAGCTGGCCTTTGAGTTCACGGTCGCCGGCTTCAGGGTCGACATAGTTATCACACAAGTCGATATCATCCTCAGACGAACCGTTTTTCTCTAGGTCAGCACACACTGGGGTTGGGAATGCATTATGCAGTCATAAGAGTAATAAACTTGGCAAACAGAAACTCATTGAAGAGAAAATAAGAACATTTATATGCATATTTCCGTAGAAGTATAGAGCTGGAGATTGTTATAACTTGGTGGCTGAACCAATGAGTGTAATTTAGTATAACATAGTTGATGAGTTGTTATCACCAACGCTAAATATTAAGATTAAGAACATATTATCTGATAATTGTTTCCACAAGCAACAGGCACACATGTTGCACCTTCCTGCATTATCCGCTAAAATTTTTGTAACGAAGAAACTAAGGCTTCGTTTAGACGGCTTTTTATTCCTTCTTAAAACAGCTTTTTAGTACAAATATTTTAATTTTTGTACTAGAAAGCTGCTTTAAGAAACAGTAAAAAAAGCTATTTCAAACGAAGTCTAAGTCATCCAGAAAGTTGATTTTTTTCCTTAGCTACACCTTCATATATGTTAGAAATGCATGACAAGGGGAAGAAAAATAACATAAAATGCCAAAATAGTCTCATAATAAACACGTTATATTTTAATATACTAATAGTATGAGTCGTCAGAAGTCAAAACAAACAGTAAGCAAACTAACTTTTAAAGAACTGTATGGCTGTTGGCAACCAAGAATTGCAGGTCAAACCAGAGTTCAATATATACGGCTATCTAATTTTCAAAGGATAGAACAAGCTTTATACAATGAAGATCACCTACTCATGATATTTATCCTATATCATCTGCAAATATGAGATTTAGTGCCTGTAATATGTATCTGGTTTTAATAAGCAAAGGAAGCTGCAATGAGAAATAACATCCAACTTACATAGACTCATTTTTTACTCTCCTTTTATATTGGTTCTTGCACATACAATTAATCAACTTGTTTCCAAGGTTGCATATTTATGTCTCCAACTAATGCAATTTTTTAACAAAATCCCATATCAAAGTAATATCATAAAACTTTAGATCATCGCATCATCTTCAACATTTTAACATTGAAACCCATCAAAGTAATAACAAAACATGGTTGCAAACTTGCTTCGTGCCATCAAAAAGAGCACTCACCTAAGAACTTTCGAGTCATGAGGTCACTAAATGATGTTGTGATCATCAGAAGAATCGGATTAGCAAGAAGGCAATCTCAATCCAAGGAACAAAGATAAAAAAATGTTTCAAAAAAGGATAATATTCATCATATGATCATTCTTTCTACAATACTTACCTATTTATAGGCGAATAAGAATATTCTAGAAACTTGTAATAAGTTAATCCTAAGGAGCATTTTTAAGAACATTCTAGAAACTAATAGTAAACTTGTAACAAACTTAAATAAACTACCCCTAAGGAATACTATGACTAAAATGCTCGGCATCACTAAAGAAGAATGCTAGATCTTATGACTTAGCCTCACACACACACACACTGAGCTCAGCTCTAACATTAATTCAAATATCCCCACTATAATGTAGAACTTATCATCGCTATAAACCATCATGAAGGAGAAGCATTATCATAACTTTGCTTAACTTTGTCTCAACAAAATAATTGGTATCATATTGTTTCATCATCACTAGAATGAAGAACAATCACCAACAATTATTATCATGCCAATAAAGTTTTCAATATAAGAGGTTGTTTAATCATGTCATCACATATGATATCCCAATTGTAAGGCACTACAATGAAAATTAAATTCATCTACAATACAAAATTTAGTTGGATTTCAAGCAGAATAAAACAACAAGATTCATGAGTGAAATAATTGATTACATTGTCCATTCTTGATAGCAAAACTAGAAACAACCCACATGCAAGGCAATTGAGCAAGGAAAACCAAGCTCTCAGTTTTCAAAGATCAGGAGCTGATAGATTAAAACAAAAGGATATTTTAAAAGAAATTTTCATTAACAAAATACAAGGAACAATTAGTCATTTTAATCAATCATGTCTTTGGTCAATTACACAAAGTTGCTATGCAATAAAAGAATTCACATACATTCCTTGGGATGTATATGCAAGGGCAAAACTTATTTAAACCTTAACCAAACATACAACTACTGTATTGCCTAAAATAGGAAGTCATGCATTAAATGTTATGTGCGAGAAGAAAATTTGGTGGATTCATAGACAGCATTTATCGCAGTAGATATTTGTAATAGAATACACGCAATCAATTATATATAACAGAAAGCAAGAGACAAGACTTATTGTGGTGAAAGCCCTTGAAAGGAAAAAAAAAAAAACATAACTAATGAAGTAAGCAACAACCTCTATTTAATAAAAAAGGGTACAAGAGTTGTCAACCTCTAGTGAAAGATGCACCATGAGAAATTAAAGAATATAAAGCTAGGGGTGATCAAGATTCAAGAACATTATTCATGTTTGCAATGGAAAGGGCTAATGCATGCTCAAAGGTCAATCATGCCTCTTGAAAGAGATGGTCACGATGCAAGAAAGATTCCAATACAAGCAAGTCTATAGTTTATGACTAAAAGAAGAAGGGTCAATTGTTGCTTTTTATGTCTATAGTTTGACCAAGTATTTTCTTATTTTGGTTGGATTACATCAAGGATCAGCCTTAAGCCCATATCTTTTTGCTTTAGTTATGGATGTTCTCACTTGGTGTATGCTTTTTGCTTATGATATTCTTCTCGTTGATAAGACTATAGAGGGAGTTGATGGTAAACTTGAATTATGGAGGTCAACCCTAGAGTCTAAATGTTTTCGCTTGAGAATATTTAAACCAGAACACGGAGTGTAATTTCAATAGTAATAGACCTAGTGAAGGGATTGTGACTTTGGGCGATCAAAACATTAATAAGATGGTGGTGAGACCTGCAGTGCTTTATGGTGCAGAATGTTGGCCATTAAAAGAGAAGCATAATACTATATTAAGTGTTACAGAGATGAGGATGCTCACCTTCCGATGACCTGGTTATGAAAGTAGAGGTATTAGACTCGACTTATATTAAGAAAGGTAGAGGTAGACCAAAAAAGACTTGGTTAGAAAATATTAAAAATGATCTTTCTTTATTAGAATTAAATGAGATTTTGACTTTTAATAAGACACAATAGGGAAAAAAGATTCATACAGCCGACCCCACGTAGTGGGACAAAGGCTTGATGATGATGTTGTTGTTGTTGTTGTTGTTGTTGTTGTTGTTGTAGCTTTTTATAAAGATGATTGTGAAACTATTGGAAAAAATACTATTTTAAAATTTTTTGTAGATATTATAAATATGATATTTTTTTTAAAGTTAGACAATATTTTTTTTGTATCTCTTACACATTAGTGATCAGATTGCAAAAAAGCAACTTCCCATAAAAAATCTTTTTGAAACGTAACAAGAAGAAAGAAGATAATAGCAAAATGGAATTGTGGAGGCGGTCTAAAAAGCAAAGCAATCATAAAGTCATCACAAACAGACCCTAAGACTTCAATGCATGTGCTTGATGTTGAAGGCCTCTTGCTTTCTTGTGTGGTAGAAATGTTCTAGTTTTATTAAGTTGTTGCCTTCAAGTGAACATAAATCTTCTTGCAATTTCACTTCATGGTTGAATGGAATCTTATAACCTTTAGATGGGGGGGGGGGGGGGGGGAACACTAGCATAAAATGAGATAAATGTGGTACTAGTAAGGTTGTAGCAAACATCTTACAAACATAAGTCAAGAGGAAACAAAAGCTAGTTCACTAGTGACAAAGGAGACAGAGGTTTAGAGCAAATCTTAAAAGAGTAGTTATATTACACGCAAGGTTGCAACACTTTACATGGAGTCGAGCATAACAAAAAATGATATTCCAATCTAGGAGTTGGATATAATGCAAGTGCAGTTGTAGCACATACAAGGACATAATGAAGTTAGAACATAGAACACAATCAAAGTTGCGCCTCAGTATTAAAAGAGATGACTATGGCACAAGCAAAGTTATAAACATGTCTAAAGGATATAATGGTTATTCGAAGGATTCTCAACGGATTGAGACCACTCAAGTAAAGTATCTTATAATTCTTAAGGATGATCACTCATTTTATTTTCAATAGCTATAAGCATGTCTATATGCAATGATGGTTATTCGAAGGATTCTCAACGGATTGAGATCCCTCATGCAAAGTATCTTATAATTTTTAAGGATGATCACTCATTTTAGTTGCAGTAGCCACAAGATCTCCCATGATAGAAAAAGCCTACGACTCTCATAGGAATTTTTCCAAGTTGCTAGCTCCTTGAGCCTAACAAGTTCCTAGAAACTCCTTTACCATGCTAGCTCACAAGTTATTACACCTAGCATGATTAAGTGAAATACAATATAGGGTGACCTCTACTTAATTCATTTTTAAGTAATGCTCAAACATCACATGGTTTAGCTTTTGATGGTGACTGATGATCAATGAAAAAATTACTTAGAAAATAAGTGATATTTAAGGCATATTTGCTTAATAAGTCTAGTCCCATCTCAAATAATATTAATGCATCTATATCAACAGTTTGGCCTTAACCCAAGGCCTCTACATTTAATTTTACATTAAAAAAACAATAAAAAATAATGTTTTAATTTTCTAAATTAGAGTTCAGATTAGCATTATCAAATTATAAAGCCATAGATAAAAATTAACATTGTGATTATATTCAAACTCCTCTTAATATAATTTGAATGATTTTTCTCGAGGATAATTTTTAAGAATACAATTCAAAATATTGATTTAAATAACTTCTTTAAATTAAAATTTTGCATAACATATAAATCAACATGTCAACATCTTCAATGCTTTCTAACATTATGTTAGAAAACGACAATGTTCAACGAACAATTTGGCAAATGTTGAACTTTTGGTCATTATATTCGCATAAAACTATAAAATTAATTTATAAATGCCTAGTACAGTAACATGAAATAATTGAACAGCAAGAACTCACTAGAATTTACATGTAATCAAGCTTTCCAATCTATATAGTAAATCATTCATTGTCTAATGCAAGTCCACCGATCTAGGAATAAGCATGATCGTCGTCTCAAAAGTTATTATAAGGAAATTCCAATTAACATAGCAAGAAATCAAATGAATAAAACCATATTGATTGTTTTAGCAAGTTTTGAATTATTATAATAAAAGTAGAACTAAAACACAAGAGCTTCAAGACTATCCATAATTAGAGGACTTATAATTATAGTTGTTTGAATGATTAAATGAATATCCATAGTTAGAGAACTTATATTCATGTTAGTTGTACGTGTGGCTTATAGGTGGCTTACAATCATTGTAGCATTTACTACAATGAAAACCATCTAAAAAGGGAGTAATAAACAAGTAATTGAATCAATTGAAGCATTTTCTTCCTAATAAAACTATGTCAAATAATACAATTGATCATCGAGAGGATTACATGAATCAAATGAATGATTAATTGTCACTATGTTAAGGTCGATGTATTGAAAGTAAAATAGATAGCTTGTGGAATAATTATATTAGAGATATGGTAGGCTATGTTGAAATTATTGAAGTTCATATAGTAAAAAAGCCTTAAAATGAATTAGGCAAGTACACATAAAGTAGAAGATGCAATGCTATGCCTAATTGTTTGAATTAACTTTAAATGGATTAAGTAGAAATTCATTTCTAGAAATTGTAAGAAAATATTTATTATAAAGTTGATGCCAAAAATCATAGACACTACCAAAAAGGCTTGATGATGGAGAAATAGAAAATATCATTTAGTGACTTCAATGATATGAGCTTTCTACCATTATGACAATATTAAAATTAAAAAAAAAAAAGCATAGACGAAATTATTTTAACCAAAATGAAATACTATTAAAAATGCTTGAAAAGAAACAAATAACAACTCAAACATTTTTTTTAAAGCCTTAATTTCATTTAAATTATAATTTTTTCATTTCTATTTTCCATTTAGAACTAAAATTTATCAATTTATTAAATGTAATGCATAATTTTGTAAAAAAAAAGGAAAAAAATGTATAAATACTTTAAAGCCATTTGATAAATTTACCAAATTGTTATATCTCTCATAAAATATAAAAATTGGGAATTTAAATAAAAGATAAGAATGATAGATTTCAAAAAATGAGCTAATGCAAATAGAAGTCATGGAGCCTAATTCTTTATTAAAGCAATCACTAATATCATCACAAATATCAGGCCCTCAAATATTGAAATAAAGATTGAAAACATACATGTGGTCTTTGCAATCTGTAATCCTATCATGATGCAAAAGCATTAAAGTTTTTGCCCATAGATCTTACTTTGTTTTCAATTGTTATATAAAGCTGACCAAATGATCTCTGTTTTTTGACACTCTAGTGGATTCCCCCATTATCCTCATTTTGATTTCTTTCCCTAACATTAGGCCCTATTTTTTATCTCCCCGTATATTACACGACTTGGGCTCCTTGTTTGGTTGCCCTCTTAAAACTGATAACGCTACTTCTATTGGGTCTCGTCCCTCGATCACTCGTGTGTTAGTCGAGTTAGTCAAAACTAAGAGATATACAGCTTCAATTAGGTTGAGGCCTAAAAAATTCAGTTATATTCAACATGTAGAGATGGAGGTATTTTCTCATTATTGTGATCACTAAAAGTCGTTGGGACACATAAACAATGAGTGTAACATCCTTAATCCTCATTTAAGTAGGGATTCACAGACTAATAAAAATAATTTTTCTACTATTATTACTATGGATGCTATGCCTATTGAGAAAAATAATAATGGTAACAATAATATTGACTCTCATGAAATTTTTCCATCTCCAAATAATACTAACGATTTTGTGGTTAGTGAGGGTGAGATTAATTTTATGGCAAACTTAGACCCTTCTTCTAGATGGTGTGAGAATCAAATAACTTTATCCCCTAATTAAAATTTAGAGAATGTGACCTCTGGTGACATTGGTGAGGGGTTTCTTGCCTCTGTGTATGTGATCATGCAATTTTCAATAATTATTTGGATGTCTCGAACAAGGTGCCTATAATTAACATACCGATTTCATCTAGATGGCGGGAAGCATTTGTTGAACTTGAATTATATAATCCTATTGTTTACTCGGATTGGATTTGCTCTCAATTAGGTGATCACTAGGGTGATGGGAGGAAAAATGATGGTATCTCTTATGTTTTGATGGAAGATAGTAATTTAAACGTTGTGCAAGTGATTATTGAGGGATTCACTACATTTTCTAACAAAAAAGGTAAGAAGATTAAAAACAAAAGGTTTCAAGGTTTCTGTTGGCAGTAGTCATTCTAATGGTCATTAGTATTCTTCTATTGGTTAGTCCCCTTTGTTTGGTTGGGGCTGTTCTGTTATTTTTTTGGCTTTCCCTGCTCTGTGTAAGATGGCTTTCATTGCTGGTGCCTTTTGCTCTTTCTTGTTATTTTCTTTTTATTCTTCATTGTAATTTAGTTGGGACCTGAAGTTATTAGGTTTCTTTTTTCGCTTTGATTATAGATCTTTGAATAGTAATGGCTCAAGGTCCCCACCTTATAACCTCTTTTTTTTAGGCATAAGCCCCTCAGTTGGTTTTATCAAAAAAAAACAAATATGCAGATAGCTCTAATATCCTGTTACATGTCATCTTTAAGTTCAATTAAAAAAAAACATGCATCTCTGATATATCAAATAAGCATGCCCTCAACCAACTAAATTTAAAGACTTAAATTCCTAATTGATCATGCCCCAATTCTATATTTTTCAATTGCTTCCATACAAGACTCACAAGCCCTTATAACTCACTTATCACCTTATTTTTATTAGGTCATTTATCATTTTTTTAATGTTAATAAAATGCACATGATTTTTTTTTTACTTATTTTAATTTTAAATTAATTATCTTGTTTTGTCATGTTATGATAATATTAAAATTTATTTCATTTAATGATTTACTTAAATTGTGCATGACCATACAATACTTTTTTATTTTTAATACTTTAAAATTATAATGTCCAATAAAAAATATGTCCATGTCCAATATTTTCAATAATAAGCATGTCTCATGTTCAAATGGATGCAACATCAATCTACTCTAACCCTAACGACATTACCCGATACTATTGTGCCTCAAATCAACTTATCAACTTATGATACACCTACATTTTTCAAAATTCATACTTCATTCAACCATCCCATAAAATGTCATGTCAAGAGGAAAAAGAAAGGAAAAGTATATGAATTGAATTTCTATAAATTATCCACAAACTAAATTCAATGATCCTTGTAATGCATCTGACAAGGAAATTGAATAAAAAAAAATTTAATTATTACTCTTTAGCTTCTTTCTCCTCATTTCAATTGGCGTGTTGCCTCCTTTTGTAATTACCATTTATTTAATGATAATCACCCTGCATTAAGAAAATTAGCATGGAAGGAATGAAAATATAAAGTGCTAGAAATTGAAATGAACTCTGTAAGATAATTTTCTGCAGCTGATAAACCCTAAAATGAACTCTTTAATATAAAATTAGCACAAGTAGAAAAACAAAAAGAGCAAAAAAAAAAATCCTTTTAGAGTTAGTGAAACCCTAAAAAGCCATTAAAACTAAACAAGCATTGTTAGAAGGTCTTATCAGCGATTAGAAGAAGAATCTGTTGAACATATAATAAGAGATCTAACCAGAAAATACAAATAAACTACGCTATGCAAATAATTATGAAAGGTAATTTTACAGATAAAATTAGTAATGCCAACAAAATATGTCAGTCATACAATTGATAGGATATCACAGAGAAAAAGAAAATCCTACAGATAAAGGTAGAATAAAACAAAATGCATATCTGTACCAAAGCTTTTTAAAAAAATTTACCAATAGCTTACTGAGATGATTAATTTTTCTAAATGACCAAAAAACCAAAACAAATGAGACTTAATCTCTACAACAACATTCACAAAACTTACTGAGATAATTAATCTTTCTTAAGAAGTCAGATTAGTGAAACTTAGGCTTCGTTTGAGACACTTAAAGCAGCATTTTAGTAAAATTTTTGAATTAAGAGAATGAGAAAGCCATGCCAAACAAAGCTTTAGTCAAACAAAATTCTTTTTAAATACCCAATAGGCTTGCAAATCGAAACTTCTTTATGAAATTTAGCTTTGCTTTGCTTAAAGATAATTCAGAGAGCAATCTACAAAGCTTCAATGAGATCCAAACCTAAGCAAACAAACAATTAATGGAGATAAATAACACCCAAATCCCATATAAAAACAACCAAAAATAAAAATAAAAATAAAAAATAACCAACATACAACTAAGATCTTCACTGCTACTATCGCTAGCAAGACATCCAAGAGAATAAAATTTAAAAAAAAAAAACACATTTTCCAACCAGCCAAAGAAAGAACATTAAGAAAAGATCCAAAAAAACCTTCAATACTTAACACTCTTTCCTCCTCATTTCTCACAACGAAATAGAACTATTAAAGTTTCGAGAAGACCACCAACTTCTAACGTTTCCATAACCAGAAAACGAAGAAAAATAAATAAAAACTGGCAACCATTTCGCTAAGTCATACGTCTTATCAAACCAAAACAAAACTATAAACCGCATAGATCGATCATCCAAAGCTGCTTAATTATATAATAATCACCAAACAAACCTTTTTTTAACTCCCACTAATAAACAATACAACGAACTCCAGAAAGCGAGCCTACTGCATGCACATGTACTTGAACTAATTACCAGACAAGATAAAATGCAAGAGAAAGAGAAAGAGAGAGAGAGAGAGAGAGAATGAGACCTTGAGAAGGAGCAGGAGGCAAAGAAAGCGAGAGCGACTTAAACTGCGAATCAATGCGAGATAAAAACAACATAGCTTCTTTAAAAGGCTTTGAAAGCTCTTGCTCATACTTAGTCAACATCTCACAATAAGCTTCCATGAACTGATCTAACGCTGGGTCTTCTCCTCCGCCGCCGCCCCCGCCGCCGCCGGATATTAAGGAAGAAGCGCAGGCTTCTTCAAGTCTGGCAACTACCTCCGGTGGAGCGCCCACCTGCAAAAGATTGGTTTTTTTTGTTCTTTTATTAGGGTTCGAGTAGTGAGGAATTAAGAATTGAAGAGTTTGTTTACTTTGTGTAAGTTAACGTAGGCGGAGAGGAGACGGGGGTATTGAGGGTGAGAAATGATTTTGGCTTTGATGAGGGTGGTGTCGTAGGCGTCGGCCGGCGGCGGAGGTGGTGGTTGCGGGTGGAGCAGGAGAGGGTTGTTGGCCCCAGCGGCGGTGGAAGAGAGGAGAGGCATGATCATTAGAGGGTTATTTCCCCCGCTCCAGTTTTCCATTGCTTACGGATGGAAGCGCAGAGGTAGAGGAAGAATAATAGAGTGCGTGAGAGAGAGAGAGAGAGAGAGACAGAGAGAGAGGATGGAGTAGGAGAACAGAGCGATTGCTTTTTAGGTTAATAGCTTTATATCATCATCATCCCTGTGATTTCTGTCGGTCTGCTTGATGTCTTTCTCCGGAGGTATGTGTATATGTACAAATTTTATGTATTCTTTAGAGAAAAAAATTTACATTTAGAGCTTTTCAATAATTAAAAAAAGTAAATTTAATATAAATATTTAAAATTAAGTTCTTCGAACTCATACTTTTACGGTAGGAGCTAAGGTTACCAATCATAAAGCTACAATCCCTTACACTATTTCAAGTTTTTTAGATTAAAATTAATGTGATGGGACATTAAACAATTTTTTTAAAATTAATGTAATAAATTCTTTAATAATAGCCCAAAGATCTTTGCACTTAAATATAGTGAGAGATGCGTTTAAATATAACATATTTTTTATATTTAAATCATCAAGAATTTACAAAAAATCCGAATCATATATTAAGCAAATTTATATATTTTAATTGCAAAAAAGAAAATTTGATGTTAGAAAACTTTTTAGAACTATAGAACGGACCAAAAGGCATTATTGATGATAAATCGTAAATCTATTACACGTTTAAATGATTTTTATTGATCAAGTAAGAGAGAGAAAGGCTTTGCCTTTTTGGCTATCACCCGGGTTTTAAGCTGGTTGAAGTAGCAGAGAGGGAGCTACTGTTTCAGCTGTTTACAGGAAATCCCAAGTTGCAGTTCCCTCCATTCCATTATTAACCCACACTTCACGTGCTGTGTTACTCTCTCTTTCTCTGTCTTCCTCGTGGATGTTCTCTCTCTATCTCCTCTCTCTTTCTATCTCCTCGCTTTTCTCCGGGAGTTAAAGGAGTGTTAATATTAATAATAGGGAGATAGAGAGAGAAAGGGTGGAAGAGAGAGAAGAGCACGCGGGGAGAAGGGGGAACTGACTGGAGCAGGGGAGATCTTTCCTTCCCGATGTAACCAAAACCAAAGGGAAGTAATGAAATTGAATAATTAATGCACCATATCCAGCCTCCTCGTTTATTGCACTGCCACTGCACAAAAAGTAATTAGCGGGGTAAAAAAAGGAAGAAGGATGAGGAGAGGAAGAGAGAGAGAGAGAAGCAAAGGAGTGGACTACAGAGATTGCAATCTGAGGTGAGAGAAAGGGAGGAAGATTCATGCTGTCATTATTATGCCTTTATTTCATTTATTTGGGAATGGCCTTAATTTAGTGTTAAATAATAAAATATTATATTTTATTAAATATATGAGTTATTTTAATATCTCATTATATATTTATAGAAATTTTAAAAATGTTAGCAAAACTTAATCTTCTTTGTTTTGAAATCAGGCCGGATTATGGTTTCTGTTTTGCTATGATACTTGAATTAATGCATGGTTAGTCTATTGCAGCTTAGATGGAGGTTCTATCATCTTGTTTTAGAATTTATTGTTACTGGTGTTTGGCAACTGATGGGGGGCGGCGAGAGGTTAATGATAATTTAATATGAAGCTTGTTGAATTTGATATATGCTTCATTTTTTTTTATTTATGAAATTTATAAAAACCTATTCATTTTTATACAAATATACGTGACAAATCAAATAATAAAGTGGTAAAAAAGAGTGTTGAAACCACGATGAAGTGTTCTATTAAATTGTGACAAACTACTACTACAATTTACTCTAATTGCATGAATTTATCATAATGAAATGAAATTTGAGATTTTTGAGTTCTTGCCATTAAATGAAAACATAAGTAGAAATGGTTGATATTAATGAGATAATGTGTTTTGCATTGATGCATGTAAATTACATAATATTTCTGATGAGACTCTTAATTGTAGATGTGGATAAAGAGCATGTGCATCCCTAAATTTTTTGTCGAGCTTGTAAGAGTCAAAAGAAATATTACTAATGTTTCTCCAATTTTAAATCTCCATAAAACCTAGAATTTTCAAACATCATATGTCTAGGCATGTCAATATTCCTAATTGTTCTTGCATTCCACCGTCAAGACCATACACCACGTTATGTTTTAAATTTAAACATGATCATTATATGCATTAAATAAAGAATGAAAGATATTGAAAACATTAATGCTTTCATTAAATAATAAGAGTCTATATTATTACATAATATGAGCTTTACATCATCTGCCTAAAATAAGAGAACATGACAGATATAAAAGAAATAACAAGCAAATGCACATACATCATCTGCCTAAAAGGTGAAAATATATTCTCTATGCTCTTTTTACCACATACAATGTTGCTTTTGCAAACATAAGCTAAACTCCCCCAAAGATTATATTTTACACTTTCGAATTCCTAGCCACTTTTAAACTTTATTCTTATGGGGCACTAAAGATAACACATTGAAAGTGATTAAATATTTTCTCAAGGGGGCTGAACTCTCAAAATAATATAACTAAAACTATTTATGATAAGTACAAAATTAAAACTCAAGCGCCGCGGCACTGGATGAAGTGTCATTGCGACGACGAAAAATGAGCTAACTCCTCATCATTGTAATGTTGGCTCCGATGTAGCGCAAAATGGTGTGGCATGGTTACTGCAAGAATTAACACATCTTTTTTGCTAAATCGACATAGTTCTCAGAAGTTATAATTGCACCTCCATGACGCCATAAAAAGTGAGCGTTGTGACGCTTGAAAAATCATTCTGGCACTGTGGCGTTTGAAATGTTGGCGTTCCTACATGGATTTTCCTAAGACACCCAATGTTGTAGTGCTAATTTTGGGCATATCAGCACTGTGATGCATTGTGATGTTGACATTTATGATTCTGCGATGCTTGTAAACAGAGAAACTCGGTGTCACCACATTGAAATTGGCGCTTCGATGTTGATCGATCGATAAGGTGCTGCAGCGTTATCTATGATTTTTTTTTTTGGCTTTTTACTGTACAATTTCGATCTATACAAAACAGAACTTCAATAATACATTTTTATCGAAATTTACATAACTAAAATAATACACAATTTAAACTGATCAAACTCCTCTCAGCTTAAACTTTTGCTTATCCTTAAGCAACACTTATATTCACTCATTGATCACTTTAATATCCAAAGTAAAAATTGATTATTTAAAATTATTAAAATATATAATAATATAGCACAGTCTCTAAGTAATTCGAAATAAATAAGTTATAATTCTAATTTGAAAAGACATAACAATCATCCCTATCAGTTAACCTTGTTATTGCTTGTTTTAAATTTATTCACTATTTATAAAAATGTATAATTGACTTTTGAATGTAGAATAAATAATGCAATCTAGGGATTATATGCATAGTTAAATAGAAAATTCATAAGTACAATATCACATGTACTAGACTATTTATTTTATCTTTTTTTTTTTTTTTAAGTAGTAAGATGCAATTAAAATTAAGCTACAACTAATATCAATTTTTTAATGTACTCATTTTCATTATTTTGTATCATTTTTATTTTTAATTTCTCACATCTCTCTTCTCTTTACTATTTTATGAAGAACATACTTAATGATTTTGAATATCATTTTTTTTTTCCTCCTTGTAGCCCAATTGAATTGATGTAAGGATTAAATATAATTACTGGTTACAATTTTAAGTTTAACTTATGATTCTTCTAACTTAAAATATTCATGTTTAATCCTTAAACTTATTTATTTATTTTCAAACAAGTTGTTAATATAAGTTAATATATAATTTCTAAATTCAAAATTAAGTTAATAACTTAAATGATCTAGATTAGTTAATTATTAAGTTTTTCAAATTATAAATTATTATGCAATGTTTATTCAAACTATAATCTAAGGTTTGATTATTATTCTAATTTTATATAATTTTTTATTATAATTTTTATTTTGACTAAATAAGTGATCAAGTATAATAACTGTAGAGAACAATATACAATAGTTTTTTTTTTAGTTAAAACCCGCAGTAGGGGCCTACGCGTTAATCTCAAAAAATGGTTACAAGATCCTTAAAAGGATCCTCCAACTCGCTAATCCTCAAAAGAGCTACAGGAAAAAAAAAAGTCAAAAAATCCTAAGAGCCAGAAGTTCCTTACCCTACGAGTACAAAAAATGTGAAAATAAAGCATAGGGATGTGATCAGGAGGCAGCACCCAAAAAAGGAAGAATAGATTTGTCTTGATCAGCTCAGTCTTCCTGCAAAAAAACAGAAACCCCAAGAAATAGAAATATAAAGCAAATACTAAGAGTACCTTGTGGACAATGAAGACCCCTAAGATCGAATTAACAAAATTCCTGCAAGAATGACTCCCAAAAAGGATATTAGTAATATAAAAATTAAGAGAATTAAAAATCCCGTAGGTCGCCTTGATGGCCCAGTTTTTACTCCTAATGTAGAAATTCCTCTGCCTACCATCCAGATGAACAAGCTTCTTCCCAACACTCCATCTATTCCAGCAATCCCTCCAGATATTCCCATATAAAACATAATCATAATTGCAATTGTACTTCCAGATAATCTCAAAACCAATCTTAATAGCAGAAGAAAAACAAAACATATTAACACCACCAATCCGTCACACAGCCTTATTAGCAGGAAGACAGGCGCTGCTAAAGAAACACCACAAAAAACTCAGCCACCACCAGCAAAACATGACCCACTCCATATAGCAGCAAATAAAAATATACCCATCAATAAAACACATAACCCCCAAAATCTCTTTGTAACCCTAACTCCCCCAGATAAAAACTAAAGAGATCTAGATATCCAAACAGCAGTCGAAGAAAAAGGAGCCCCCAGCAGAAACCTGGACAACCAACAAATCCCCAAGCAGCAAGAAGAACAGAAAATCAACAAAAACACCATCAACCAACCCAGACAAAACCAGAAAACACATAAAAAACATCAAGCTACTTATGGCGAATGTAAGGAAGACCAGATTTATCAAGAATAATCAT